ATTATCTAAATTTTGAATTAGCAAAAACAATATTGATTTCAATAGCAAAGTCAAAATCAGAGCAAGTACACAAAATACTTCATTGTTAAAAAAGAAAATGAACTTACATGTACCCTAATGGCCCCACCTGAGGATGCTTTTAGCTACACTCATAATCCAACCAACATCAATCTCAGATGGAAACTCTTTCTTATGCCTGGAATATTAACATAACAATGATCAATAGGATCAGGGCAAATAAAGATTTGTATTTACAATCTTGTTTTAAGAATAACTTTTAAATACTAATTACTTGTGGTATTACTTTACAGTTTTGAAATTATTTTTATTTACAATTTATTTTATGTTAATGTTCCCCTCTTCTAATGTTTTCAATTGCCTATTGTCATGTTAATTTTCTGACTTTGATAAATATTCTATAGTTATGTAAGATGTTAAGGTTAAGGGGAAGCTGAGTGAAGGGTATATGAGAACTTTAATTTTTTGCAACTTTCCTATAGATCTAAAATTATTTTATTTTTTTAATGTTTATTTTTGAGAGAGAGAGAAAGATTGTGAGCGGGGAGGGGCAGAGAGAGAGGGAAACACAGAATCCAAAGCAGGCTCCAGGCTCTGAGCTGTCTCAGCACAGAGCCTGACACAGGGCTTGAACCCATAAACACATCATGACCTGAGCTGAAGTTGGCCGCTTAACTGACTGAGCCACCCAGGTGCCCCAGATCTAAAATTATTTTAAATTAAAAAGTAAGAAAGTCTTTAAAGTCTTTAAAAAGTCTATTATCAGGTAGAGAACACTTTTACATGTTATTAAAATATATAATCTTGTTGGGGCACCTGGGTGGCTCAATTGAGAGTTGGACTTTGGCTCAGGTCATGATCTCGTGGTTCGTGAGTTCAAGCCCCACATGGGGCTCAGTGCTGTCAGTGCAAAGCCACTTTGGATCCTCTACCCCCTCTCTCTGCCCTTGCCCCACTTGTGCTCTCTCAAAAAATAAACATCTTAAAAAAACAGAAATACATAATCTTGTCATAATATTTGGTTCATTACAAACCATGCATTTATATATATGTATGTATGTATGTATGTATGTATATATGTGTATATATATATATATACACACACACACATTTCTTATATATGTATATGTGTGTGTGCCATGATAATATAATAATCTCTTTTAGTATTAGCATAAGACAGGAAAATTATAATCTCTGAAACTTTTAATGTAAGCCTAACAAAGAAAAATTATTCATTGTAGATGATTATGGTATTACTATTATTATTTAAGAACATGTAAATAAATAGTTTAAAATTCAGAATAATTTATAGTTTAGGAATTAACAGAGATTCCAGTTTCTTTTTCTTGAATCCCGAGGATTACTATCCTTTGGGAATTTGGGAACATTAGCAGATCACAAAAAAACTGATAGAAACAAATGCAAATCCTCTCTGGAATCAGGTGCCTTCATTGTAGGTCTTAACGTTTTGCAAATACTATGACCAGCACACAGTAAAAGATAATCAGACACATAAGGAGTCTAGACCACATGAATGAGGAGTAGGCGACATCAAAAATAACCCCACTAACACATAATATCTTGGAATCATCATATGCAGACTCTAATACTAAAGTTATGCTTACCGTATGTAAAGAAAATAAAAAACAAGCTGAAAGCTACCTGCAGGAAACAGAAAACTATAAAAGATGACATTTCAGATTTGAAAAAAAAATAGAGCTTCTTCTACAAAATGAATCCTCATGTCACCGTAATTCCAGAGTCTTAAGAAGGAGGTGTAGCTAGCTACAACAAAGAACCTTACCTTGGGTCTGACACAGCACTGGACTATTTTGCTACCCATGAACTGTGTCTGATAAGGGGACTGGCATCTCTGTTCCAACAGTCCCCAGAGCCACAGTGGTCCAAGTTCAAAGTAACAAACAGAGGTAGGAGATGTATGAAAACTCTGGGAAGTAGACACGCAAACTTCAACTTCTAATTTCATTCAGTTAAACTATATCCAATTTATCAAGTATTTAATGGGTCTCTACTACCTGCAGAATACTCTGGCAGGTGTGTGGGAAATGATACACTAAGACAAAGTATATCTTCTCAGTAGGTTTAAAATTCACATTGGGAGGCATATAAACAACTAAATATAATATCAATCAGAATTAGATGAATGCTGTATCAAGAGCATTGGAAGAGTAAAGCCTAGTGCTCAAACTGATGATTTCCTTCTTTTTCACTGTACTGACTATATTACTGAATATCATTTTTATGAAAATAGAAAACGATGACCTTATGAGGTACTGTTAGTGACTGCAAGGAATAATTTCATCACATTAGCAATAGACATAAATAATACTTATTGAAAAAAAATTAACATTAATATAGCCTATGCTGTTGATAGATTCAAATGAAGAAAAATCTTTTTAATTAAGACTGTACACACCCACTGTAGATCTATCACATTATTAAACTTTTAGTACTTAAAAAAAAAAAAAAGCACGGTAAGAACACTGGCTAAATTATTAAATTAGTCCTAAAAAAGAAGGTCAGTTGAAGGAAAAAGAACACCCATTTCATCACTTAGTACCAGTCCATTAATCTATACATCCATTTAAAAACACTGCATGGGATCCTTAAGCACAGAAGACATAGCATTTCTGTGGAATACAATTAATTCTAAAAAGTATTACTTAAAAAAAAATGTCTTTTTAGTAATCTCTGCACTCAACATGGGACTCAAATTCACAACCCCAAGATCAAAAGTTGCATGACCCACTGAGCCAGCCAAGCCCTCCTAAAAAGCCTCATTATTGAGAAATTCCCACTACCTGAAATTTGAGACACTTTTGTTCTGCCACCCGTATATCTAATGCAAGAATAGTTTACAGGTGTATCTCAAAACTTACAAGTTGGAAGGTGGTGGAAGATCCTGGAACTTGCTATTGCTTTGGGGATGCAGCACTGAGATTCCCTTATAACTCCTTTTCAGGCACACTGAAACCATCAAGGTATCTGGCAATCCCCCCAGGACTTCAGGTACTCATATTAAATGATCACTTTTTTTCTTAATGTCCCCTTTATTATTTTAAGTAAACTCTACGCCCAAAGTGGGGCTCAAACTCATGACCCAAGACCAAGAGTTGCATGCTCTACCGACTGAGCCAGCCAGGTGCCCCTAAGTGATCACCTTCTTGAGGATATGACTAAGAGCTCATCCTCACGAGTCCCCTTGAG